TTAATTACTATTAATCACAATATCTGAAAGTTGATCTTAAGTTAATTTTAGAAATGGAATTTCGACATGGCTCTTTACTAAAAGTGTAAACTTTTATTCATTTTCATTACTAGTTTCTTATGAAAAATGTTTGCTAAAAATTTAGAGTTCTATGCTATCTTGCTTCTTTTAGCTCTACTATTTGGCCACGCAAAGTTTGTGTCCTTTGAAAAAACTTCCTCAGCGGTTGTGTCTAATACATAATAACATGTTTTAAGCGTTCTAGTATATTCTTTCTTGCTCCTCCCTCAGCCTCTGCTTTAAGAGGGACACTACCATTCAGATTGGGTTACTGAGATTCTTCACCAGGCTTTCATTCAGAAGTTAAGCGAAACTTATTATATGGAAAGGAATAGGCCATTTACGTTTATAGATATTAATTCAAAGCTCCGGCGTGATCTAGCCAGGATTCTGACTCCGGAAGATTATCAAAAACTCCAAAGTATGACAGACAATAAATCATGTAGGATCTTTTATTTAACAAAAGGATATTACAATGAATTGCTTAGGTATGCATTTATAAGGCAACATTGGTTAAAGCCAGTGCGCTTAGTTGAAGGGGTTTTTAATGTGACAACACCCATTGACCAATAGAACGGACGGAATAAGATGGTGAATTTATCCTCGCTTCCTCTCGATTCAGGATCCATTACGTTTCTGAAGAAAGGGCTAAACTTTTCTCATCAAAATGACAGAAATCGTCTAGGAGACATTCTTTTGGAGGCCATCAATATCCTTTACAAGTGTCATGAATAGACAAAATGGGAAATGGAGATGGGATCAATACCAAGAATCTTGACGCATCATGAACCAACACACATGAACAGATTTGCGAGGATACGCATGACCCTAGAAAGGAATTAACAATTGGTCCTTCAGGCGGACAAAGAAAGGGCGGCAGTTGTAACGGACAGAAAACAATATTGAGTAGGTTTTCGAGACTACCAATAAATCAGATTAATAAATTATGTTCACCTTGCGTAGTTGAAACGTAGATACGCATATGAACATAATGATCAATGGATGGACAATACATTTACTAGTAAAAAAGGATGCGCGACCACCAACAGCCTACCTAAGTTACACAAAGAAGGAGAACCACCAAGGGTGATAGTCAACAACAAGGATGGAGCAACACACAAATGAGCAAAGTTCATATGCCTAAAACTAAAGAAGGTAAACGACAGATAATTAAACAGTAAAGGATCAAAAACATGACATTAGAAGAAACATAATATTGGTAAGTTTTAATGCACAATCTATATACATAAACATTTTGGGAGAAAGGGCTCTAACTGCCTTGGTATAAATTTTGGATTGAGAAGAGGATATCCTAGAAATAGAGAGTTTCAGAAGGGAGTCGTTAAAACGACTAGTCAACTTGACAATAAGTACCACCTACTTCACATTCAACGGCAAGATCTATGAACAGACATTTGGATTACAAATGGGATAACTGCTCTCCCCTCTATTTGCAAATTTAATCATGAACAAACTAGAAGAGAATTTCAGGACGTCACCGCTGCAACCAAGAGTTCTTATCTGGTACCTTGATGACTACTTCGCAATTTGGTCGCATAGAAGAGGAAAAGTGGAGGATTTCCTGAAGTTTATAAACCAGATTGATTGAATAATCAAGTTTTCAATGAAGGTAGGGGAGGGACGTTTACCTTTTCATAGATGTTAAACTCATGTTTTCGAATGTGATGTTCGAGAGAAAATTGTTCCAAAAGAAGTTATATGCTGAAATAATAGTCAATTTCGAGTCCAGTCACAACTAGAGATCAAAAATACGAATACTGAGGAGAATGATCATTTGAAGCCTACGACTAACGGACGTGAAATTCCGGGATGGATAATTGGACGAATTGGCTCGAATATCCCTTAGCAACGGATACTTATGAGAAGTGACACAAAGAAACATACTGGCCATGAAAGGCCGATGGAAGGATGGGGATGAAATAAAGGTTATTGACCTTGTTTTCGCAACTTGGTCATATTGGTAGGAAGATTTAGAGGAACGCATATAGTCCGGAGTCCATTGTATACATTATCATTTCCAGAGTAGGACCGTGGGCGTAGTACAATCACAGACGTTTCGCCGACATCGTGGTCGGCATCGTCAGTGAGTCTCGCCATTCTTAGCACCACACAACAACTCGTAAAAAGAGACAAGTGAAGCTGATCCTTTGAGCAAACGTGTGCTAAACAGTTGTGGTATCTCCCCTTATGCCCCTCTATTCACATTTCCTATAACCTCCCATCACACATTCACTGTTACAATTTTTACCGTGCTTATTTCGATGTAGTGTGCCTTGATCCTTCGAGCGGCATTCATGAAAACCATTCACACTCCACGCTTTCGTACTCACCCCCCTTCATCCTTGTGCTGGGAATGTTGATCAGTCTGCCATATTATTACGCAGTCCTTCCCTAGGTCTTACCACAATCTCTCTCTTGCCCCATTTGCTCTCCGTCTGCTCTCTCCCTGGTTCACCTATTTCAATCGATCCCTGCCATCCCATCTGTGCTACTCGAGGCGTTATTCGCCCTACACTGCGCCTGGGTGACTAATTTGAGGCTAAAGTCTCTGATTAGTCTCATGGTCACGCAATATATGAGAAGAAAAGTTGGGTTTCGAGGAATCTCTTGTTTCATAATTGTTGAGCTTACTTCCATTTCAAGTGAAAGTGTTGGGTGAAGAGGTTAAGGGTCGGTTCCACCAGAAGACGACGGCAAATTCCTCTTGACCAGCTGCCGATTGGCTTTACTGGAACATTCATGCTGACGCTGTTTCCGAGACAATCTCCTTCGATTCCGGTGAAAATGTGTAAGCTTTCTTCCGTCATATCACGGACATCATCAGAGCGAGATAACATCGTCACAACAAAATTCAAGCTAATGAGTCAAGGAAACTCACCGACAAATCCTTAAAAAGTGCTATATATACTCTACATCTGGCCTCTTTGATCAAGTATAAAATGATTTGGTTAGTTAAGGTCATATGTCAACCTGCGTTCTTGTTAAAGGGATAGGTGAGCAAGTAAGGAAGTGGGGAATAAATAAGGTCTTCAGGGAAGCTAGAACACTTTCTTTATTTATGCCCACAGACCCATTATCCAGATCGGGTTGCTACAACATAATGTGTTAATGTGGTCGCTTTTATGTTGGAGAGATCGTCGTCCTATTTGACAAAGGGTGGCTAAGCACAAAAGCGCCTACAAAAGCTGTTGTGTTCAAAAATTGGAGCTTGCTGAGCAAAGGGCAGAAACGGGACAGGAGATTGAATGGTCTCATACTTCTCGGTTTACTGATTATGGAATGTCTGCGGCTAAACGTAAAATTAGAGAAGGCTTAGAAATAAGCCAAATAGGAAATACCTTGAATGTAAGGAATACCGGCAAGAAGATAAGTAAAAACTATTTATGCTTAATTGAATATATGAAGACCAAGATGTTGTGGCCTCT